GTGTCTCCGTTAATTGCTCCCACCTGCCTCTTGTTTCCCAATCACCTTAGCTCCCGGTCCTCCTGTATTTAAACCCCGTCTGTTTTGTGTCCTTTGTGGAGTCATTGTTTCAGTGTCCAGCGTGTGTCTTCAATAAACCTGTGTTAAACAGACTCACCTGTTCGCCTTCTTGCTCCCTGCGCTTGGATCCTCCTCGCTGCCCGGCACGCACGTGACAGAATGACTCCAACATTCAGTAATGGATCCAGCAGGGAGATTCTCCCGTGGAGTTGCTTCCTCCAGTGGTTCACGTCCGACCACCGGCCGGCTTCTCCCTCTCCGGCCCCAGCTCCGCCTCGCCGCCGGCGGCATCCCCGGCCATCAGCCTCGGCATTCCTCGCCGCCCTTCCGGAACCGGACGGGAGTTGGGATGGGGAGACGCTCCTGGATTGCTCCAGCTATGAGGGCACAAGGCTGGCGATCTGCCCCCCCGGAGTCGGTCCACGGTGTGGGGAAAGTCGCCGGAAGCCACCGCAGCCCTGCGCTTCAGGACGGAGCTTCGAGCCTGCCACTTCCTCCTCCAAGTCTCCTCCTTCTGCTCCGAGACTTCAGTCCGTTCCTGCCCCGGTCCAAACTATCCGAACCGGCTTCATTTCCTTCTCCCCTAAACCTGTTGGTGCCCTCTCAGCACATCCGAAGGGCCAAGCCACCACACCCTCGCCTGGACCAGATAGCGCTGACGCATCTTCTCCGGTGGGCTGTCATTCCTCCTCAGTTCCTGCCAGTGTCCTCTCCATACCTCAGCTGAGCCAAAAAAAAAACACGCCGACGACGCCGCAACCGTCCTGTTCCAGCGGTGGTCCCGGTGGACGCATCGCCTCCTGTTCCAGCGGTGGTCCCGGTGGACGCATCGCCTCCTGTTCCAGCGGTGGTCCCGGTGGACGCATCGCCTCCTGTTCCAGCGGTGGTCCCGGTGGACGCATCGCCTCCTGTTCCAGCGGTGGTCCAAGGGGACGCATCGCCTCCTGCTCCAGCGGTGGTCCAAGGGGACGCATCGCACCTTGTCTCGGCAGAGGAGGATGCACGGGCTCTGGTCCGGCCCATCCATGGGGCCCCAGGTCAGAAGTCAGCGTCTCCCGGCTCGAGCTCCGAAGCAGACACACCCGGCTCGAGCTCCGAAGCAGACGCACCCGGGACAGAGGTCGACGCCTCCCCTGATGTCGGCTCCCAAGTCGACGTGGCCTCCCCTGATGTCGGCTCCCAAGTCGACGTGGCCTCCCCTGATGTCGGCTCCCAAGTCGACGTGGCCTCCCCTGATGTCGGCTCCCAAGTCGACGTGGCCTCCCCTGATGTCGGCTCCCAAGTCGACGTGGCCTCCCCTGATGTCGCCTCCCCTGAAGTCGGCTCGTCTGATGACGTCGCCTCCCCTGAAGTCGGCTCGTCTGATGACGTCGCCTCCCCTGATGTCGGCTCGTCTGATGACGTCGCCTCCCCTGATGTCGGCTCGTCCGATGACGTCGCCTCCCCTGATGTCGGCTCGTCCGATGACGTCGCCTCCCCTGATGTCGGCTCGTCCGATGACGTCGCCTCCCCTGATGTCGGCTCGTCCGATGACGTCGCCTCCCCTGATGTCGGCTCGTCCGATGACGTTGCCTCCCCTGATGTCGGCTCGTCCGATGACGTCGCCTGTGGTCTGACGTCTCCCCCATCTCCAGTTCCAGTGGTGATTCTGAGGGTCGCTCCGGTCCAGCCTGCGGGGACTTTGTCACCGGTCCAGCCTGTGTCCCCGGCCCAGCCTGCGGGGCTCCTCTGCCGCAGGCACAGGCCTCCAAGGGACCGTCCTCGCCTCCTCTTCTGCCCCAGGCGCCGGCCCCCTAGGGTTCGTCCTCGTCTCCTCATCTGCCCCAGGCGCCGGCCCCCTAGGGTTCGTCCTCGTCTCCTCATCTGCCCCAGGTGCCGGCCCCCTAGGGTTCGTCCTCGTCTCCTCATCTGCCCCAGGCGCCGGCCTCCAAGGACCCGTCGCCTCCTCATCTGCCCCAGGCGCCGGCCTCCAAGGGCCCGTCGCCTCCTCATCTGCAGCAGGCACCGACCTCCAAGGGCCCGTCGCCTCCTCATCTGCAGTAGGCGCAGGCCTCCTGACTCTGCTGATCCCTGCCGCTCTCCTGTGGTCCCTCGGTTCCTCTGGGCCCTCCCTCCGGGTCCCCCTGCTCCTGGTTCCTGTGGGCGTCTGGGATCCGCCCTTTGAGGGGGGGGGGGGGGGGGGGGGGTACTGTCACGTCCTGTCCTGTCTACTCTTAGGTTTTGTCTGTGTCTCCGTTAATTGCTCCCACCTGCCTCTTGTTTCCCAATCACCTTAGCTCCCGGTCCTCCTGTATTTAAACCCCGTCTGTTTTGTGTCCTTTGTGGAGTCATTGTTTCAGTGTCCAGCGTGTCTCTTCAATAAACCTGTGTTAAACGGACTCACCTGTTTGCCTTCTTGCTCCCTGCGCTTGGATCCTCCCTGCTGCCCAGCACGCACGTGACACTATAGCAGTGGTTCCCAAACTTATTTAGCCGCGCACCCCCTTCTATGTCCCGACCATGTTGACGCCCCCCCCCCCCCCTACATCACGGCATGGCTATATATATGTATATATATATATATATATATATATATATATATATATATATATATATATATATATATATATATATATATATATATATATATGCTAAACAGACAGGGTTAAAAAATATGATCGACCTTTTCCCCCATCACTTTCATTTTTTAAATAGTAATTAATAAGCATTCGATACCATTACAATTTCCTTTGATTTAATTTTAAATAAATATTTAGAGTGCCCAGGTAGCACATAAAAAATGCAATTTAACGGTTTTCTTAAAGTAGGAACGTTTAACCTGTGCGGCCAGAGCGCTCTCCTTCCTTCTGGTCTGCGTAAACCTGAACTGGCCACCTACTTGTGCGTAATCAAATGTCTATAGGGGAAAAGGAAAAAGCTTTAGCCATGAGGTTCAATTTTGCCTCAGACCGACTTATTGCTGTTTTATGGTGTGGCTGAATCTGCGATCCGCTGCCACGCGGACTGGAACAACAAATGCTGCAGGTTCGGAGACACTGGCTGGAGCGGACCCGACTTTAATATGTCATCCCAAAATAGAAGCTAATATCTTAATTTGACCTGGAATGAAAAATGTTGTTATAAAACCTCTTAAAAGTTTTTATCACAGAGGAGGCAGAGCTCATTTCTGCCTTCAGTCTGACGGCGCGCCGCAGTTTGCGCAGCGTGCACTTATTGAATCTGTGTGTGTGTGTGTGTGTGAGCGCGCACGGCACAGCTCCCCGAAGCTTGGTTTATGCTTGACGCATTCACTTTCCGCTTGGTGATGCGGCTCGCGGATGGAACGCGCTTCACAACTTGCAGCGTTTAAGTCACTGTGTCTCGTTATTGACGCTATTTAAACCAATGTTGTAAAATTACTTCAGCCCAGCCCAGATGTGCTCACTTGTGCACCCGTGAGCCGTGGTTCCGCTGGAACGCGTCTGACCTCTGACAGACGCACTCTGAACTTCAGATCTTCAGCGCGTGTGAGGTTTACAGTGTCAGAACACCTGCATGAGACAGGTGTTAATTACAATCTGCCAGAATGACCCCCTTCAGATTTCTCCAACACCGTTAAAAATGATAAAATATGGAACATATCGGCGTGCGCAGGCCAGAGTGCTGAAGCTCGGTGCATTGTTATTATGAAGTTAGGGCACATGTGGAGGACACACACACACACACACACACACACACAAGTAAAATATACTTGTTTTCAATTACATTTATTGTGCCCACTTACTTTTTCTTTGGCCCACCCACAAATGAGTTTTCTGGCAACGCTAATGGTGACACCTGACAGACTTCTCTGAGCTCCGCAGCCATTACACTTTTCATCTCGCGCACCACCTAGCGGCAGCTCGCGCACCCCCGGGGGTGCGCGCACCACACTTTGGGAGTCCCTGTCCTATAGCATAATGGTTGGGATCACCACACCAAATCTGCCTTAACATCATGTAATTTATACTTTTTAAATTTATTTTACACATCAAATCAATTTGGACCATTTTGATCATGCAAATTAATCATTTTAACTAATAAAACAGTAACAGAGGGAAAAAGGGTTGATGCTTTCAAGGCCTGCCGGGGGCTTTTTGTATGTGATTGTTGGAACAGTTTTTAGGCTGCTTGTCTAGAATGTCTACATCTGAGTTCATTGTTTGTCTAATTTATTAGAATTGTGTAGAACAGTCTAAACCTGGAACTTGCACAGGTACGGGACTGACTCCGTTTGCACGTACAGCATGCGTGCCTCATGCACGAGCTTACTATTGAGGCTGCAGTTACGCGTTTGGCCTGAGGGGGCATTCGCGAGCCAAAAAAATTCTAACTCCTTATGGTCTCTTGAAGCATTTGGCTTGCCAGTTCCCTTCCCACTAGGAGCATTTCAGATGCAAAACAGCACCAATAGCATTCAACGCAGCTGGTCCCACAATGTCACGAAATGACTGGAGAAGTGCAAGAGCATTCGTGATTCTGGCAGTTCACGCCATGACAAACAAGAAAAAAAATAGCAAGATGCATGCAAAAAGGTCTGTGGTTTAATTTCTGTTCTGTTTACTTCAGCTATGGGGATTTCACAATTAATGAAATATATCTTTTTACTAGTTATGCAACTGGAAATCTGCATGTGGCTTTTATTTAGACAATTTTGGGATGTTTTACCCTGCTTTCGTGTTTGACTTCCTGTCTGGCCCAATCTGAACAGCTGAGCTTGACGCATTCTGGAAGTGTAGGGTGTAAAAAAAATAGACTCAAAGCATAGATTTAGTGGAGCAACACATCACTACGGTTCTGAGCCACGTCCAAAAGCTTTGCTACAGATGGACATGTACCCATTCACTATAATAGTGGCTAATTGCTGTGCACTATGCTTCACGAACGCTGCGTGACACCTCCGCACCCAGAGGAAAGGTCCAGTTATATGTAACCAATCTACACCAGTGGAAGGATTTACAGAAATTTTTGTATAAACATTCAAGGAAATATTTGACATTAAGCCTGATTTATACTTCTCCATCATCTTGGATGCTGCGTTGCACATGCCACAAGCGTAGGGGAAGTTTTGCCTTTAGACTTATCCGTTGCCTAAGGTGTGTTGCAAAGCAATTCTCTGCATGAAAACAAGGGGGTTACAGTTTTTTGGGGGTATCCTGCCACCATTGCAGTCACGCCTCTCATGCATTTGCTGTTGTGTGTTTACATTGTGTTTATGTCTTTCAGGGACTTTTTGACACCAACAAATTTGTCTGTCATTCTTCTCCATCTCATAATGCAGTCCCCACCTCCAAACCCTTGTTTGCCATTAATACCTTCCATGATAGTTTACTGTATATCCCTGTACTCCTTCAGTCACGGGTTGAAAAACATTCCTATAATCAGACTGTCACGGGATGAGTAGGAGATGGCTAGGACCCAAAATGCAGATATCCAGGATGACACGAGGCAGGGATGAAGATTAAGAAAAAATCCATTATTTTGTAGGATGAACCAAAACAAAAAGAAATCCAAAAGGCTGGAAGCAAAAATCCAAAAATGTCCAAAACGCAGAACTAGAGATCCAAGAAAACACCCAGGAAGTACCAAAAACACTAGAGATCCAAAAAGCGAGACAAGACTGACAGAATACATCAACGGACCGACACAACACTAAGACAAGAAGAGGGTTTTATACACTGGGGCTGGAGTGATAGGAGACGAGGAGCAGGTGTGTGGGGAACTGGCACAGGTGAAAGCAATAATTGAGAGGAGGAGCAGAAAGGACCAGAGGAGGACACCAGACCTGATTGGGGAAGGACACACACACACACACACACACACACACACGCACACACACACACACACACAGAGCTGGGGAAGGACACACACACACACACACACAGAGCTGGGGAAGGACACACACACACACACACACACACACACACACACACACCGAGCCGGGGAAGGACACACACACACACACACACACACACACACACACACACACACACACACACACACAGAGCTGGGGAAGGACACACACACACACACACACACACACACACACACACACACACACACACACACACACACACACACAGAGCTGGGGAAGGACACACACACACACACACAGAGCTGGGGAAGGACACACACACACACACACACACACACACACACACACACACACACACACACACACCGAGCCGGGGAAGGACACACACACACACACACACACACACACACACACACACACACACACACACACACACACACACACACACACACACACACACACACATAGAGCTGGGGAAGGACACACACACACACACACACACACACACACACACACACACACACACAACTGAAATAAAAGACCTATATAAACTAAGGTGGGGAGACTAAGAGACCTGAAGAAAACCAGGAGGGAGCTGGGGACAAGAAGGCTAGAGCTACAAGGGCACAGAACGTGAAGGAACACCTGGAGGGGCTGGGGATGACTGAATGAACACAGGACCAGGGAGGAAAGATCTGGAGGGCTGCTAATAGGAGACACATGAAGAACACAAAGAGACACATAAATGAGATGCAGACAAAGGATACACGAGGGAGCTATGAGACTCAAAAGGAGAACTTAAAGAGGGATGGAGAACAGAAGGAGACACATGAGGGAAGACGCAGACCATGACACAGACTTTTTTCGCAAGACGTTTTTCTATCTGCTCCATGTCTGCCGTGAGATATCTTTGCACTCTATTTATTTTTTGAGAAGGTAATGGCAGATGTCACAGTGGTGCAGTGGTTAGAGCTGTTGCCTCCCAGCTAGCACACATAGGTGGGACCCATATGGAACCTATATGGGCAAGCCATATGGGTCCCACCAGGGTTTGTCTGCAGTTTCCACGGTGGCCCCACAGGGGTTTGCCCACAAGCATTCTATACCCTCTGAATACCCATGTAGGGCCCATTCAAATCTATGTGGGCAAATACCTCTCTGGGTAAACCCCTGTGGGGCCACCATGGAGACTGCTGACACACCCTGGTGGGACCCATATGGGGCCCAACTATGTGTGCTGGCTTGCACCAAGAAGGTCCTGGATTTGAATCCCAGCCTGGGGTCTCTGCATGAAAATGTGCATGTTCTCTCTGTGCACGCGTGGGTTCTCTCTGGGCACTTTGGCTTGCTCAAACGATCCAAAAACATGACTGTCAGGGTAAAAGGTTTCTCTAAATTGTCCTTAGGTGTGTGTGTGTGTGTGTGTGTGTGTGTGTGTGTGTGTGTGTGTGTGTGTGTGTGTGTGTGTGTGTGTGTGTGTGTGTGTGTGTGTGTGCGTGCGTGTGCGCTTGGTTGTTTGACCTGTGTGTCTCTGTGTTGCCCTGCAATGGTCTTGCAATCTTTCCAGGGTGTACCCCGGCTGTTTGCCCGGAGATTGCTGGAGATGGGCACCAGCCCCCTGCAATGTTGCATGTATAAGCGTTTATGGATGGATGGATGGATGGATGGATGGATGGATGGAAGGAAGGAAGGAAGGAAGGAAGGAAGGAAGGAAGTAAAGAAAGAAGGAAGGAAGGAAGGAAGGAAGGAAGGAAGGATGGATGGATGGATGGATGGATGGATGGATGGAGATAGGAATGGCTGTTGATAAATTTAAAGGAAGCAATGTCCTGACCAGTCCCAGACTTGCAGTCCTCATGGCTTTTGATGAACAGTTGAAATATGGGACATGTCTCCATCTCCCTCTGCAGGCCTGCTGCAGAAACCTTGCATCAATGCATCTTGGAGCTGCGTGTCTCTGTATCCACGCAGGTGGAGAGGTATAAATCAGGCATTAGTTATGTAGTTAGGTGTAGTCAGACAGGATTTGACAATTCCTTAAAACCAAGATGAATATCTTTCAATTTTTGAAAAAGTTTATTTACACATTATAGTTTGACTGAGAAGCACAATGACGGTAAAAACAAGAAAGGATGCCCCATTGCCCTTTCTGAAAAGCATTCAGTATCGTACTTCTGTTCAGAGGCACACTTACACACACACACAAGGTAAGCAGTTACTTTGGGCCTTCCGTATCATCTTTGTCTTTGTCTCATCTTGTCTTCCCGTGTGGATTAGATTAGATTTTCCACTCTCTATTAGATCATTGGTATGCAACATGGATGGAAACAAAAGCACTTGTTAGCTTTGCTAATGCTAATTCTACTGATAGCTGCTGCAGGTGAAGAAAGACCTGTGTAGCAAAAATCCTCCTATTGCTGGGAGAATGGAAAGCAAATTTATCATCCAATAAAGCACCTTCAAAGCTAATAATCCCATTTCCTTTAAACTTTGGATAAAGAATCTGTTTAACTGGAAATATCCAAAACGAAACCTGCAAATAAATCTAGGCAATAAATGTTAAAATAGTTGCCTAAACTACTTGGAGGTTATGGAATCTCCGAACCATTTCTGCCGTAGAAACTCCAAATGTCCACAATGATCAACCAAGCTAACTAAGGTTATTTGAAACAAATTGTTATTTTATTCAAATGCAGTCATAAAACATGAGAGGCCAGATCGGCATGCTTCAGTAAAAAACTGTAAATTGAATCTGGCCCCTTTAGGAAGAGTTTTTGTTCTGTATATCTTCCCACCAGCTCCTCAGGTAATCTAGAGCTTCTGTCATCCTTTTGTTTGGCCTCCTTATCCGCACACCTCCTCAGTTTTTACGTCAGAGCTGAACCCGTCCTACATACATGTGGAGTGTTACTTGTCAGCTCGAGCGAGCTCTGGGATCGGGGCAGAGAGCCTTCCTGCCTCCCCAAGCCCTCCTAAAATCACCCCAAAGCACGCACACACACACACACACACACACACACACACACACACACACACACACACACACACACACGAATCTGTGTTAGCAGGAGGGGAGAAAAATGATATGAAACCCAGAGTCGCTGACCCCTGCTTCCACAGGCGGTTCACCAAGAGTTGAGAGAGAGGTGCAGAACAGCTAAATAATTCCTCCCTTCCTTAGTGCGCTCCAGCGTGAGCTTGCATACGCTATTAACCTCTGCAGATACAGAACTTAAAGCACAGCTATTGAAAGAAAGAGAAAATCCTTTTTAAATTACAGTGAGGTCAGCTTTTGGATGTTAAATAAACGGCTGTTCAGATGTTTGTCCTTCAGGGAAAATCTGTCGATAGGTTGGTGTTTAGGTCAAGGTCTTCTTTAACCAAGTTTCTGTTTTAGTGTCTGACTCACTTTTCTAAAAAAGGGGGAAAAAGACGTATAAACAAGTTTTTATGCTTGCTTGAGGATTTTTTGTTTGCTCACTCAAAGACAATGCTGATAATGTTGAATGGAGTGAACACGTGTGAAATGCGCCTGGCTTGGCACGGATAAAATGATGTAGCTCAGCAGCTGTTTCTTGTGAAACAGTTCACATGACCGATCAGCATCCTCCACCATCCCAGATATCTCCTTCCAGCGCCCTAAAAACCGGACGACCCCCGCAGCTGCCATTCTTGTTTTCTCTTGTTTAGAAATATTTGAAATACTTTTCCATTCTCGGGCAATAATACAGTTCTTGCTTTATTTTCCATTTTCCACCTTTTCTAATATTGCATTTTTATTTATGATAGCAAAGAAATAAAAAAAACTATCCGTCAAGTGTCAAATCTACTTTGTATCAAGAAAAGATGGAGTCAGGTTAGCGCTCAGGCAAAGAGGAATCCTCTCTTTACTGACATTTATTAAAAATCCAGCCAATCGTGATGTTCTCTGTTGTAGTGCTGTTAAGCAACGGGCACCACCATTACAATTGTGGTAAAAATGACATGAGAAGACGAGTCATGGACATGTAGTATACACTTCATACAAAAATAAAACTATTTAACTACACATTTTCCACCCCTCCTCATCTATTTGGGCTTAGGAACAGCAAAGGTGACCCAGCAGAGACACTCTGGTGAAGTTACTCAGATGTATTTATTTTACATTAGTTACATATTTTAAATGAAGAAAGTATTACAACTACATCTTCTGGTTGCAAGCAGCAGGGATTTCATGCATGTGCTGTCAACTGGACTCTGATCGCGGGGAGGTGAACATCTTCTAACTGCAGCTCAGAAGGGGACCGCTGCACAAGGACTGGGCCACCTGTGAGTGCTTTAGGATGAAGCACAGGCCCACTGTGGCAGCTGCTCTTGAGAAGGGAACGAATCACTTATACTTTCATGTCAACATTTCCAAAGTTTGAAAACCATAAAACATTGCTTGATTTGTCACTAGTTGAAAGACTTACTGAAGGCATCTACATATCTGTTTAAAATAACTGCATTTCTGCTAAATTATAACTGTAACACGGCGATGGTGGCAGAGGGGTTAACAGTCCGCCCCAAAGCTGGAGAGTTGCAGGTTCACACCCCCACCAGTTGTATCCTTGGGCAAGACACTGCTGATGGTGTGGTGGTCTAAAGGAAATGGTGGCATCTAGTATGTATGACAGCCCCACCTGTCAGTTAGCCCCAGGGCAGCAGTGGCTACAATACAGCTCATCACCACCAGTGTGTGAATATGTGTGTGTAGGGGTCAGTTACTATTGTGTTGTAAAGCACCTTGGGGGGTGTTAGGACTGTGTAAGGTGCTGTCAAAATTAGGGATGGACAATATATCGACATCAATATTGGTATCGGCCGATGTTAGTCATTTCTTAATATATCGGTATCGGTTCGATAAATAAAACCGGGCCGATATTAACAACCAATATTTTTTCTATCTCGTCTCCATTTGATTGCTGGTTTCAGAGGGTGAGGGAGGTGATGATGTGTAACTTTTTAGTCATGTGAACAGTGAATGTAATCATCTCAGAACCGTAATGTGTTGTGTGTAAATAATAACGTAAATTCAGCTTCAATAACTTTCATGCTATACAAAATCTGTTGATTTTAGAAGCATTAATGTCAGTATATCGGTATGGCAAATATCGGTTATTGGCCATAACAGTGGTCTTAATATCAGATGTCGGCCCAAAAATGTCATATCGGTGCATCGCTAATAAAACTGCCAGTCATCAGTGCTGTGACATGGGGCTGGAGAGACTGCAGTGAAAATGATCTTGATTCCTGCAACATTAGCTGACAAATGTTGGAGTACAAAGCAAAGATCTTACAGTTAGACCATCACATTCTGTATTAAAGACTTTTTTAAAACATATTGTGTTTTTATTTATTGTAAGTAACGCGTCACGCATTTGTTCCAGTTGCTCTTTGAGCTGTCTCCCCACTTGTTTTTCTGAATTGTTGAAAACAAAAGAAAAGCTTTTTCTTAAGAACTTTCCTGGTTTCAGGCCTTAATTTCATTTCCTCTAATTCGTGTCTCGATGGCAGCCTCATAAGTATTCTGTGGTTTATTGGCTTCACTGCTCCAGCACTTGATGTCTCACACACTAGAACACATTAGCTCACTGGTATGCATTCATCCAACTTCCCCAGCATTACGTAGAACCTAACCAGTGTCCTTGATTTAGTTAATCTGGCACACGCACTCAGATTTAGGGAAAAGAAAACCAGATGTTGAGATAGGGTTTGTGTACTTTGGTTCAAATTTCTCAGAGCATATCAGCTTAGACAAAAGCACCACGCCAATTTTCGTCGTCATAATACAACGTGGCCTCTTCCATGTGAACGTGCTTTGCTTGGAGGCCTGCCAGCAAACTAAAATTAGTGATGATTGTGTTTTTATTACAAACATGGCCCCATCCAGGACACATGAATCCAATCAAGCCGAGTTAAAACCAAAGTTTAAAATTCTCCCTCTGGATTTCCCTCATTTTTACTGTTAAGTCATGCTGACTCGGGTGAGACGCCTCTATTTCTGTCTGTAAACGTCCATGTTCCTATGTGCACCACATTAGTCACTGTTTGGACCAGGCAGTCACTTTGCAAAAATTACATAATGTTCGTGTTACTGAGAACAAAACATAAACATGTGTTGCCACGGGAGGTGCAGGCCAGGCAGGGCGTGAGTGCAGGGATCTGTCGGCTCACACGAGCCCTGTCGATAAAAACGACTTTGTTTTTAAAATGAAACACCCAACTTAATGGAAGAACTGTTTCTAATTAGGATGACAAGTTGGAATGCTCCAGCAGGACACATGAAACTTATGGGCAGATTGTTAAAACAGCAAATAATGCCCCCCCCCCCCCCCCCCCCCCCCCCCCCCCCCCGGTCACCTCAGTAACCTGTGAAAAGCCTTCATCCCATCTTCTTCAGCTCACTCATCCCATCATCTTCATCTCCCCAAGCTCAGCTTCATAGCAGTCCGGGGAGAGGCATGTAAATCTGGCCCCCTTTGAGCAAGCAAAAGGCTCCGGAGAAAATAAATCTGCTGGGGTTCACGGTAAGTTCAGCCAAGCCTCTGCTTAGGGCTTTCTCTCTCTCCTCTCTCTCTCTGGGACTGCTGCATCTCTGTCAGTTCATCTTTCTTTCAGTCAACATCTTTCCCTCGGTTTTGTCCTGTCTTCACGGCTTCTTCTGCCCTCTTTTCCATCCACAAACATCTCAGATTTGCTAGCATTGCTACAACGATGACATTGTTCTGGAATCGGCTCTGGCGAGGAAGCGGGACCATCCGCTAACATGTGTTGTGTCTGCTGGGGTTTGGTCAAGCGTCAGATTCAATCTCGTTTAGTCTACATTTAACTAAGTTTAAAGCATCGTTAAGGGGCTGGTTTCATGAGTTTCAGCTTATAAACCAGTTTGACAAGAATTATCTCTTCCCATCAAACAAGCCAGTATGTCACTGGGCTGTGGCTGGTGGTCACTGATTGGAGACACAAAATTGCAAGAAAACACGGTGGAATCCCACTGGATTAGTATGGTGCTTATAACACATTTGTGTGCATAAAAACGGCACATAAACATTCCAATTAATGCAAGTTTTCTTGTACCAATTTGTTTCATGGGTAGCCAACCCCTTCCAAAGTTGCCCAGCACTCACAGAAACCACATTGAGAAGGATTTGAGACAGGTCTCAGACACCACTGATGACTCTGTGACTCGGTGGCATGCAGCCAGGGTCAGAAAGGCCTTCTCCGCTGGCCTAAACATGATCAGAAACAATAACTTATCTACATTTTTTTTGTTATCTCTCTCAAATCTGAGAGCAGTTCAGGCCTAAATAATCTATAAACCTTTACACTATATCATTCTCGTTTTGCATTATGTTGCTAACTTGGGATTCTGTGGTTTTACCAGCAATAAAATAACCACCAGTGAATTTAGCGCTTCTGAAATTAGCGCCATCTGAAGACAGAAGCAATGCATTTCGCTCCTGGCTGTACTCAGACTAGCCGTTAGCTCATCCATCCTGAAGAATGTGACTCTCAGCTGTTCAGTAAGCTCTCTATAATGAGTCAGATTATAACTTTACAAAGAAACACACTTTTAAACAGACAACATTTTTATTTAAATTTAAAAAAAGCATCAAACTTCTGCAGTGAGCCAAAGATTAGAAGGACTAGACTAAAAGGCGTTGTGGGGAAAGTCAAAGTAGGAGAGAAATTAAAAGATGTAAGCCCTTGTTTTTGAAGAAAAAACCTGAAAATAATATGCATATGGGACTCAAAGTGAGTTTTTTTTAATGTGCAAAAACTAACATAATCACAGGCTGATGTGTCGGGCTCATCTTGTAGACTTAGCCTTTTTATCACTGCAGGAATAATATCGGGGGTGATGTTTACCAAAAACAGCATCTCACTGGTGGATCTCGTCAAGCGGCTCTGTGTTGACACAGCCAAAGCCGTTCTTCTGATGTAGCTGTTTATCAGAAATGGACAGATAGTTTGTAAAAGGAAGAGGAGGAGGTCTGGTCACTGAGTACTTCCAGACCTCTAATGAATTAAGACGGATGTGAGGAGACAGAGCTCGCCCCTAACCCTGTAAACTTTGACCTGCGCCGCAGCATAGCACGAGGTCAACATCAGCTTAAAAAAAGAGTAGAGGTGAACTCCAAGAGCTCCCAGAGTGGACGGCTTCATCTCTTCATTTGACACGGTTCCAGCCCTCTTGGCCACAGCGTTCCACGGCTGGTGTTTTCACACTCAAAACCAGCTCAGATTGTGGAAAATATCGGCTTGCAGTAAACAAGCAAGAAAACAAAGGTGCCATTGTACCGTCTGAGCCCTTTCACATCAGATATGTGAGGAAAGCCTCTATCTACGCATGTGCACAATGTCTCCACATTACACTGATATATAATACTCTTCATTATTTCCAGTCCTTGCTTCTCCGTTTCTGCTGGCACGACATATACTCCCAGTGACTGAAGGTAGCGCCTCCTCGTCTGTCATTAACCAGCCTGTCTCCTTATCGGAGTCTTGGGCCAACCTCTAACCTCTAATATTATTGACGTTTTCTTTGACAAGTGTTGGAGATGTCTCAGAGTAATGTGCAGCTCATTCAGCAAGGCCTTGTCTTTAATCTCTGACCCAGAAGAGGCAGGACTCTTGGTTTATACAGGG